TTGTGATTTAGAAACACTACTGAAGCTGCCTTGCTCCTTTCAGAAAATCTACATTTTAACTAACTTACATGGCATTCTAGGTTACGTTGACTTGTCAGATGAAAGTTTATAGTGCATTTCATCAATTAATAAATAAATGTGGAAATCGTAATTTTCAACACAAATAATAGTCTCGCTACCTTAACTCAGATGGACCAATCTTAGATTTGTTCATTTTGTGATGACAGTGTTCTTCTAGGCCTTTGAAGCGTCATGGTACTGTCACGCTTGTACACTCGATGCTTATTGCTTTGTTTACAAGTGTCAGTCTCGTCTGGCACAAATTTAAAATGATAACATATTACATGTATTGATCAAAAGGTTAGCCACACAAAAACAGGGAAGTCTGCAAGAAGTTACCAAGTCATTCACGGGTGCGGCACCTCTCAATCCAAAAACAAATACCAATACTCGAGATAGAGTAGTAATAATTTGCCCATTGCACATAACGCCAACGATGTGATAAAACAAGTTTCACAAATCACAAACGCACCGTACGCCAGGAAGATCTATATCGATTTGCTGCACTGCAGTTATTTGCAGTTTTTACTACTCAATAGCCGGTGACACTAATCGCCAAAAATTTAAAAAAACAAGTGAAATTAAGTCTCATTGGAAAGAAAATGTAAAAATTATTCACCTGCAGGCGAGAAGAAACAAAGAATAAACCAAAGTACCTCATTCATAGTGTATCATGCATGTTGTGACATCGCGACTGATGCATGCTGCGTTACAAGGGGGATTTTGATTGAGGTTCCCCAGTGCATGTTTTTCCGTGATGTTTAAAAACCTTGTAAATACCTCGTTGGCGATTTTGATGTAATGTCTAAGATAATCGTCAATGAATCATTTTAATTAACAAAACATTCTAAAAAAAATTTCAGGGACCAATGATAGCAACAGCAGAGGTGAATACCCGTTCAACGCAATGCCGTCAGCTGACAATGTTAGGGTGATTGTAGCGTTACGTATGTGGTATAGATAGACCAATGAAAAAATGCTAAATTTAGTTTTGAAATGCCATTGTAGAAAAAAAATCATTGATTTATTAATTTCTAAGTCATATTTTGATAACCCACAATCTGGCAGACTTTACAAATTTAACCAAAAAATGTTTATCCCCATGTCATATGAACTGACAGTGACAAGGGCACTAAAACTGTCTGTACTTGTTTGTTTATGACTTGTTGTACACAAAATAATGACGAACCAGTTACCTCTATGGATAACAATATATTTACTGACTATGACATAAATATTTCCATTGCTTTTTTTTTGCTGTTCTATTTCAAACTTTATTTCACTTGATACATACATAAAATACAATGGATTAAGTGATATAAAATATATCATACTATCTCGTCTTTAATTAATTGCAGATAAGTTGGCAAACACAGTTATTGTAAAATAAATAAAATTATGCAAATTAGAAGCATTATTATGCAAATTAGCCATGATGAAGTCTGGGGAGAACGCAGGATGATATTTTCAATTCTCTAATTCAAATGTGCATTGCTAACAGTGGAGCTATCACAGCCGACAGACTGGTTCTTTATATTTTCAACATTATTATGACATAGTTTCACACATGTTTTGCAGTTTTTAGTGCAGTATAGAACTGGAATATGCATTTGTTCAAAAATGATCACAGCATAGCTGGATCTTTCCATTGTATAAGAATTAGGCTGTGTTTCAGGTTCACCTATTCATTCAGTCAGTCTTGTTGATGGATGGAGCAGATATAAATAAGTAATTTTCTTCATTACAGATGTTGATGATGATTATGATGATGCTGTTGAGGAAGAAGAAGTTGAAGAAGGATTTCAAGATTTAATTGATAGAAATGCTACAACTGGTGATGTTGAAGGTGATAGTCATGGCGCTCGACGATTACATCAGATGTGGCGGTAAGATATCCAAATATATCATCCTTTGTTATAGTACTATTACGCCATTGTTATTCAATAAAACATTTTATTATGTGATGCATTTACACTATATGCTTTGTAATGGACATTACTTAGATCTTCCACTTGCTTTTCTTATATAAACATACTCTAGTGTTGCTGGTTGACTAGTTAATGAAACCTCAGTCATTTTTTTCACTGATTTGCTTATTATACATGTATACGTCTCCACTTGCTTACCGGTAATTAATTTATTGAAATAATAAGATACTACTATTTCATACAAGTCATTTTGTGTTTATATTTATATTGACGTATTTGACAGGCGTGATATTAAGTGATGTTTCTGTATTTGAGAGGCACCTTTTTTACTTGTCATTCTTTACGTCCAATCCTCATCTATAACAGAGAACAGAAAGAAGATGAAATTGAAGAATACTACAAGAGAAAATATGCTGACACAACTTCTGGTGGACGTTATGATAGTAACTATGAAATGTCTGATGACATCACTCAACAGGGACTCTTACCAGGTGTTAAGTAAGTATAGTCATTGTAGCTTCGTTAATCCTACCCCAGGTTACATGTACTACACACTCAATGAAAAGACCAAAGCCACAAACTGAGATTCCTTGTCAATCCTACCCCAGGGTAGATGTACTACACACTCAATGAAAAGACCAAAGCCACAAACTGAGATTCCTTGTCAATCCTACCCCAGGGTGGATGTACTACACACTCAATGAAAAGACCAAAGCCACAAACTGAGATTCCTTGTCAATCCTACCCCAGGGTAGATGTACTACACACTCAATGAAAAGACCAAAGCCACAAACTGAGATTCCTTGTCAATCCTACCTCAGGGTAGATGTACTACAGACTCAATGAAAATACTAAAGCCACAAACTAAGATTTCTTCACTAATGTATATGATGGTTAAGCACTGTACAGTGTTTGGCTGTACTTTCCTGATTGCCACTTGGATAGTGCATAAAATTGAAATAATGCAGTTATGGTACTAAACTGGTCACATAGCCATTTCATCTAGGCTTGAAATACAGTTTATGCGGTAAAACTATATCTACTGTCAGCTACTGTATTCCTGTCACCTGCACATAAAAAAAGTCAGGAGATGCAACAATGTTATCATGTTTATCAGAATACCAACTATTCAACTGACATAAAGGCGACAAGATATGTCCCAGCATACACATGTAACTTAAGTCATTTCAGTGCTGTGATTGTTTTGGAACATAAAGGTGTTGTATATTGTGGAGTTGTTACTATGTCTTCAGTCTAATGATACAGAAACTTGTGTTTTCTGTCCATGACCAGTGTGAAATATAATGCTGTGGTCATTTGGTATTTAATTTATATATTGGTATACTGTTTTTCATATCAGAGATCCTAACTTGTGGATGGTGAAGTGTAAAATGGGTGAGGAAAAAGCCACAGCAGTAACATTAATGAGAAAGTTTATTGCATACCAAGTTCAAGATGAAGTAAGTATTGAAGTGAATCATTTCACCATGTCCACCAGTCCCTTCCATTTCCAAATTCTTGCCATTCTCTATAGTTTACATATACTCTGTATGGTTCTGTCACACCTCTTGTTTCTTTCCTCTGCTGTTGGTGTAGGGCCAGCTAGCTCTGGGACTCCACTGGTGAGAGTATACGATAGAATTTTATTTTCAGGGGCGATTCGTGGTGTCATGAGTCGGTATTCAAAAATGCTTTGATGGGTTGAGGTGATGACACAAAACAGATACAGGACAGCACAGGAAGCAATAGGCTAACAACAAAATCTCAGTTACAAGTCAACATGAGCATTTAATAAATAAGGCAAAATATCAACAAAATGTGTAAAATTTCATACACAATAGTACACAAACGTATACAATGCACAGCAAAACTCAGCTCATAGCTAGATAATAGCAGCAGTCAATAATAACTATGTTGGCAATATAATGTAACAATATAAGAACTATCCAAGTTCAATATCACCATAAATGCACTTCAACAAGCCTTGCACTGCTATGAGTACACAACACAGGTGACAATATAATAGGAAATACACACTAAAGACACACAATAAATTGGCTATATTCAATAATATCAATGTAGGCAAGGTACACATAAATAGGCTATGTTCAGACTGGTAAACTTGCCACACTCGAATGAACTTCTGCAGAATAAATAAAGAAAATCACACTATTTAGAATAGCGTGCAACCTGTTGCCACTCACTCACACAAACGCATAGTCTTGCTACGTATAATGTCAGCTGGCTAAAAGTGGAATAGATAAACGCATAAGGAAATCTGCGCGGCACAGAAATATATTAGGAGAAATCCAACCAAACACAAATGGGTAAAATTTCCCCAAATACTGTTGCCACCATACACAAGTGATCCCAAATATTAGTACAACGTCTAAATGCAAGCAATAAGAAACAACAAACTGACATTTGAGCTAACAAGACACTAACATCTCTCGCGCGCATACACAGATACACAGATAATAAACTCACAAGTCACTGTTCACTGTTCGGTCTTTAGCTGCTTTTCCACGTCAGATCACATAAACTGCGATTTCCTGGGGGATTTCTATCACTCCGAGGCAAAACAACAATATGCGGCACCACAAGAACAGCAAGATTTCACACACTAGACTTCCTACACACGTACTTTACATACGTTGCGCTGTATTACAACCAAGTCCGACTCAATTCTTACAAGCACTTGTCGCAAACAATACAAATCATGTACTATTACCCACGGCGTTTCCATTGCTTCCCGTCCTTCGTGTTGTTGAAGTCCCTCCTTCCTCGCCCTGTTTCTTCTGCTTCTTCCTCCTCGCGATGTTCGTTCCTCCATTCTTGCGCTGTTCATCCCTCTCGTTAAGTTCTGATCTAGGGGTCATTGAAGCATACTCAGCCCATTGCTGCACGCGAGTCACATTCATAACAACTTTGTACAGATTCTACATGCACTGTTTTCTACGAGGTTCGCCATGATCACATGACAGTGTTCAAAAAGTAAACAACCG